TTTTTTTTTTTTTTTTTAATGACAGATGGTATAAAGTACCTGACTGTGCTCTGTTACTGATGGTGTTTGTTCAGCTCGGAGTATGTCCAGATGCCAGATCAGCTATTCCGTTCACACCTCTGCTGTGATAAGGCATGCTATTTATAATTTGTAAGGATTTATAATTACAACACCCGTTTCCTATGGAAACGAGGTTTACACAGCTGTGCTAGCTACACACTGTATAAATTGTATAAATTGCCCCCATCCCCCCCAGCCATTTTCAGATTCCTAAGCTCGCCTCAGCCAAAGCTGATAACGAAGCAGATATCCCATAGATAAGAGGAATCATGCAAGAAGGCTGTGGAAGAGGTCAAAAGACAGTGGGGGGAGAGAAGCACCTGGATCTCAGTGCGGAAAGAGCTTGTGCTATTGCAGACACAAGAGAATCCACATGGATGGGGGCCAGTCCAGAGGGAAGAGCTGACCTCAAATCAGGCAGGCACCAGACTTTGTCAGCTCGCTTGCAGATGTCTCAGGTTTTGCCATGCGGTAGTTGGGTACGGATCCCGTTGGGTTTTGGCATTGTCCAAGAGGCCTGGGTGCATGGGGACGGGATGGGGAGCGATCCTGGGTGCCACCATGCAGCAGCAGGATTTGGTGCAAAGGGAAAATGAGTTGTTGGGATTCAGGCTGTGAGCAGGACCCCAGAAGTCCAGCTCCTTCCCATCCGTGACCCATAGCAAGGACTGCACCATCCATGGGAGCAAAGCTGCTCTTGACCCAGCTGGGATGCTCCAGGTGGTTTTTGGTTGCTGCCAATGTGGTGTTACCACCTGCAAACAAAGCTTCATGGTGAAATACTGAAATAAAGGCTGTCTTAGCTGCCAGAGTTTTATTCTTCTGTCTTCTGCTGTCATGCATACTGTTTGTGGTGTTTTCTTGATTGAGAAGGAAGAGGAGCAGAGGAGAAACAATCGTGTTTGGCTTCTCTAACAGCTTGCTTCTGCGTTTAAAAACAGTGTGAACAAATAAAAGAAATCTCCCCTGTGTCTCCCTGTAGTATTGTTATTAAATGGCAACAGGCTACTGATTACAGCAAAAGTCTTTTCTGAGCTACACATGGCTGGATGGGCGGCAAAATCCAGACCCTGGCATGAATTGATCGTTGGGCTGTGATCATCGCTAATTGAGTTACCTTGCAGGCGTCTCAGAAAAGGATGAGGTGCTGCAAGATAGTTTATCTAAACTGGTTAATGGCTTGGTATTTTCCAGAGGCAAGAGCTGGAGTCAGAGAACAAGAAGCTGAAAAATGAACTTAATGAGCTGAGGAAGGCTATCGCAGACCGAGCAACCCAGAACAACTCCTCCAACGATATTCAGGACAGTTACAACCTCTTACTGAATCAGCTGAAAGCGGCCAACGAGGAGTTGGAAGTGCGGAAGGAAGAGGTGCTCATCCTGAGGACGCAGATTATGAAGGCAGCCCAGCAAAAAGAGGCAGGCAAAAACATGGTAATTGAGAGGGTAATGGATTTTCTTTTCTGTTCGGTTGCTGAAAATTCACTGCCTGCCTGAGCGATGCCACTTTTGCTTTGGTAGGTTTTGGGGGGCAGAATGGCATGGGGAGGTTATATATATATATATATATGTGAACCTGAATGCACAGGGGTTGCAAATCAGTGGTTCAGATTCTGTTCTCTGATACTGTAAATGCATTTAAATTTATATATATACATATATATGCCTACAGATGAGGTATAGTCCATGACATCATTTCAGCCCAGGACTATATGTCCTGTGGAGATCTGTACTGCTGTAAGGTGCTTGACCCCAGACCTGATGAGGTCTAGCCAGCCCACACCAAGGAACAACTTCTCCAGCCCTGCTTCAAAGTGTGGTGGTGTGAGATGGCTCCCAGTAGTGTTTTGTGACAACTGGCTTATTCTGCAAGGAAATAGGATTGGGGAAAAGAGCTTCTGGACCAGGTTCTGCTCACTTGATGCTGGTGCAGCTGTAATGCTTTTCTACTGGTGTGTAGGGCAAGAAGAGAGCCTGTCCCGTCACAGTTGTTTGAAGGCTTTTTGTTTAGAGCCTGTTCTGATGGAAGATTATGTTTTCTGAAAACTCTCACTTGGGCTTTTTAATTCACTGCCTTATCATTCCTCAAGATTTTGGTATGTTTCGTATTTGAGACCACACACAGCCCCCCCCTTATGTCCATCCCAGGTTCGTGCATTCTCCTTCTATCTCCTAATCTCTGCTGCTGCCTGTTTGCACGCGCATGAATTCATAGAAACCGGTGGTTGGGAGTTGGTTGGTATCAGGAACTTTGAAAGACGGGAGGAGATGTGCAGGATGTCATGCTGCTGTGTTCTTCTTGTTGAATTTAGGAAAACACCAATGCCAGCTGGCCAAACAGTGACAAGCACATTGATCAGGAGGACGCCATTGAAGCCTACCAGGGGATGTGCGAGACAAACCGGTAAGTGTGGCCCAAATTTTTCCAGCAGCAGGAGGCGCTGGCCAAAATGTGAGAGATGGGATCCAGACCAAAATTAACAACGTGTTTTAGAGAGTTATCAGCTTCCTGGACTGTGTTCTGGACCTTGGGTTAAGGACAGACCATAAGGATGGGACCGAAGACGCAGGTCTGTAATGGGTGAAGAGGGCTCAGCTTTGGGGCAGTGCATCCCCAAGGGAGGGGAGATACTGGGCAGGTAGAAAAGCCAACATGGAAGTGAGCAAAACTGGATTTTGACTTTGCTTCCAGTACATAAATAGTAGCAAGACTAGGATTTGGGATATATTTGAGTTACTTACTTCAAGTAATTCCTCATGCTATGCTGGGAAGACAGCATGGCTCCCCTCATTTTCCCAGAGGCAAAAGCCCGTGGTGGTGAACTGAGCTAACGAACTCACGCGGTGTTCTCTGGCAACACCACGTTATTGGTTTTCTTGTATCTAAACTGAGAGTCGGAAACATTCATCTGATTACAGGTTTCCCATAGCGAGGGTTAATATTGTGAACAGGTCTGTCCTTATAGTAACAATGGGCTTATATTGCGAGGCATTAAATCAATCCTTGCAGCTATCCAGGAGGACATCAAATAAAGAAGTAGTATTTTGCAAGAAGACAAAATTACATGGATTAAACAGCAAGATAATATGTAGAGTAAGTATTTATTTTATGGGAAGGAAATTGAACGTTCATCTCCTTTTCTCTTGACAAATACAGACGTTTGAGGCTTTTTACCTAAATAATTTTTTTTCAGCAAGGTAGTCGGAAGACCTAACCATTCTGGATTAATGGCTTTTAATAACACAGTGTGCTTTTACACTTCGCAAACTGGTTGCAGAAGGCTGTTAGCAGTCCAGGCTGGGGAAGACCATGACATAATTAGGATTTTATTCATACCTGTATGACTATGAGCAAAGACACCCAGTCTTGGATTATGGTATGAAAAATTGTGAAGAGTTGCTTAACGCTTTCAGAACTGCACGGCTGAGAAGGTGCAATGGGAAATCCATGTGCCTAGATTGATGTGCAAAAAATCAATGTATTGCTGTGCGGTCAACTTTGCTCATCATGTCTGTTCTGTGCGTCCCCCAAATTTCTGCTATAGTATGGGCTGGATTTTCTGAATTTGCATCTATTCTACTTCTTGGGAAAGCCCTAGGAGGACCCGTGGGGAGATCTCCAGTTCCCCTGTGTTGAGTACAAAGATGGGCTTGCTGCAAGGGCTGGGTTCCACAAGCATTGCATTTCAACATAGCTTAAAACCCTCATGGGTGGACTGAGGCTTTGCCCAGCTTTCACTTCAGCCCAGGGACCTGGTGGAGTGGGGAGTGTTGGGGTCCAGGACTCTTGTGACACTGGTTTCTCACCTGGGCACCATGTCTGGCTGGATCAGGACCAATGTTTGGGGTTTTTTTTCCCATTTGTTGCCATTGAATATTTGCTTTCCTGAAGTGAACTTGTTGATGAAAATTTCTGCCCCTCCTGCAGTAGAGGTGATGAGATTGATTTAAACATCACCTTTTTGTCAGTAAATCAGTGGAGCTCAGCGTGCTTTCTGCTGCAAGGTGTGTTTTTTGGTCACTGAATGAATTCTGTGGATTTTCTATAATTTCCTTCCAGCTGTAGGTGCTGGTGTGGGATGTGAAATCCCATTGTCAGACACAGCTTCAATTTCTCCCTAAGCTGCTAAAAATGTAGGGATGGTTAGTTTGTGTTTGGGTCTTGGTGAAGGAGTTGGTGTCAAAACAAGAGTTGCTGCTTTCTTAGGGCATGCATCTGACCTGTACATATGGGTTGTATCACTGGTCCCAATAGTAACTGAGATTTGGCCATCCTGACATGTGTGCCGGCTGCTTTCACTCCACCTGCTGGGAGACTCCATTCCTTCTTCAGCCATTTTGGTTTCCAGACTTAATTTCCGCAGGGAGGATGGAATCACACGAGGAAATCATCAAAAATGCTGCAGTGATCTAATTTTTCACAGCCTATAAATCTCTTCCCTTGCAATTGCACAGGTGAGCTGCAATGTAAGAACTTCATGTGGTCAGGCCTTGGTGGTTTTTGGCCTCATGAGATTTGGGAGTGGAAATGTGCAGTCTCCAGGCTCAGTTTCCTGTTACCTCTCTTGTCTACCTCTCATATGAAGCTTGGCTGGAGGTTGGCTTTTGCAATACAGTAGCAGTAGCTCTACAAACTATCACCCTGATTTTCTGCAGTGGTTTATCCAATGGCTCGTTAATCACCACCAGCTTCCCCATTATATAGAATCATAGAATAGAATCATAGAATCACTTTGGTTGGAAAAGACCTTTGAGATCATCGAGTCCAACCTTTAACCTAACCCTGACATCCCACCACTAAACCCTGGCCCTAAGCACCTCATCTATCCTTCTTTTAAATGCCTCCAGGGAGGAGGACTCTACCACCTCCCTGGGCAGCCCATTCCAGAGCCTGACAACCCTTTCCTAAACAACCCCAGTTCCCTCAGCCGCTCCTCGTATGACTTGTGCTCCAGACCCCTCCCCAGCTTGGTTGCTCTCCTCTGGACATGTCCCAGCAACGCAACATCCTTCTTGTAGTGAGGGGCCCAAAACTGAACACAGGATTCGTGGTGCGGCCTCACCAGCACTGAGTACAGGAGCACGGTCCCTGCCCTACTCCTGCTGGTCACACTATTTCTGATACAGGCCAGGATGCCATTGGCCTTCTTGGCCACCTGGGCACCCTGCTGGCTCATATTCTCAGCCGGCTGTCAACCAGTACCCCCAGGTCCTTTTCCACCAGGCAGCTTTCCAGCCACTCTTCCCCGAGCTGTAGCACTGCATGGGGTATAGTTCCCTGTGCGTCCATTTGTATATTGGGTTGGTTTATAAACTGTAGGCTGGAGTTGATGGCAATAAAATAGATAAAAACAAACGCTCGGGGAGCATGGATTATTGTATTTGTCGATACAAATTAACATTCCCTCCCCCCAGCACACATTTGCATTCATACTTGAGCAGCTTTATACCCAAGCGTGTCAGCGTGAGAAATAAAACTGCTTTCTCTTTCTAATCTTGATCAATAAATATTTTAATGGAAAGCTTTTCTGGTGGGATTGCAGTTCTGAAGTGGGATTAATAAGCAAAAGCCACTTTTTCTCCCACCTGCACCGCAAGGAGCGCTCCTACTTCTCTTTACCCTGATACCTCTCATTCTGGTGGCTGTTTCCAACCGAAGTGGATGCTCTTCCATCGGTCCAGTCTGACCGATGTGGGAAAGCTGCGGTCCACCCATGGGTCACTCCAAGCTTGAAGTCATCACGTCTTAGCTATTTTAGGCTGGGGATGGAGCGTGGCTTTATTTTGATGGCAGACAGACCTTTAATACATTCTGTGTCTGTATAATCCAGGACTTTTAAATACAGCACGAGGAAAACAGGAAAAGCTTCCAGGTGCTGCTAACCCTGCTTGCGTAGTGATTCTCTTTCTCCACGCCGCTCTCGGAGGAAAGCCTTTTGATGCCAGGTCAAGGGGAAGTTTGAATTAAAAGCAACCCTTGATAAATGCAGTGAACTCAACTTTTTTTTTCCTTTTTTTTTTTTTTCCTCTTGCTGACTTTCAACTGCTAAAAGGAAGAGCATCAAGTTAGTTTCCAGCTAATTTTCTGCTTCAGTAACTGAATGTAAAGCTAAGCAGGCTCTTTGGTCCCTGTTTCGGTTCTTGGGATCTTTCTTTCAAACCTGTTTGATCTTGGTGGAAATGTAGAGCCAACAAAAGACCAGGTGATGAAGTTAGAGATAATAACTTGGCAGCTCAACGGCAGATCAGGCTTAGTCTTTGAAATTAACTTCTGTGATAACCTCCAAGTGATTTCTGTAGAGTATATGGCTCTTTTTTTTTTTTTTTGCTGGGTGCAGTGCAAAGCGAAGGGCTGATGCCGGCTTCATGTGGAGGATGCTTTTGTGGCTGGAAGAGGCCATCACATGGAAAGGAAGGGTTCATATCTCTGCTTACCACTCTCCAATGTGTCTCTTATCGCTGCTTCCCACTCTGTCATATATCTAATCTGTGATGTGCAGTAGTTTTCCATTTAATTAAAAAAAAAAAAAAGGCATATCTGTGTTTGAAAATTAAATGCCCCTTCTTCTTTATTAAGAGATGATAATTATCTGCAGATGCTAAAATTAACATCTCTGGGGTTTGGTATATGTGCACCTCCTTTAAGATACTTGGAGGAGGGAGATGTTTGGGCAGGAATTTCTCTCATTCTTGAATTCATTTCTTGAACTCATTCATGAATTTCTTTCACGAAGGCAGTTGGCCGACTCCAGGTCACCACCCGCTCCCCCAGACCCCTACCTCCAAGATAAGGATAAAGGAGAAATGAGGTTTCGTGCATCACCTCCTTTCAACTCCTTTCAGGCTTGTTTGAGAGAAGGATTTACCCAGCAGTTTAGGAAATTATTTGGGCACATGCTAATTAATCTAATTAGCTAGAAAGGACCCCTATTGACTTTTAATGTCTCGGTCAATATGAACTTCTGGGAGAAGGGAAGCTCTGTGACTTCTGAGTCAGTGCTGTGTTGATGAACATGGACCGAATGCTTATTTCCCAGGGCAGTTTTATCTTAGTATAATGGCACCCCCTTGAGCTGCTTTCCTTGTTTACCACAATGCGTATGATTAAAAAAGGGAGGAAAGCTGTTTTTTCAAAGGAGGTTATCCAGGAAAATGCATCTGTTAAAAAAGCTGCTCATCGTGTGAGATTTCCCAGGTCGCTGAGGATCCTTCCTGGGTTTTTTTCTTGGTTTTCAGTGCCTAAGTACACATTCTGCTAAGATTATCTGAACAAAAAAAAAAAAAGGTTTACCCAAATCAGACCAATAAACTTCCCTGTATCTGTTCTACAGACCCTTTTGGAAGCCTGTTATGTACGGGTAAAAATAAGGTTTTAATCTAAGTTCATACATACGGCTTTAACAGATGAATTTTCCAAATGTTAATGCCTGAAACTTTTGCTGCTTTTGAGAAGTGCTATGCTCATGCACCGGGATGGAAAGGATGTACAAGCTGTCTGCGGCGGTGAGATGCCTCTTGAGTCCTTTCATGGCAGGGCTGCACCACCACGGTTCCCACTGCTTTCCTCGTGTGAAAATTTGCTCTCGAAAGTTTATGCTTTTCCACTTAAATATGCAGAGCTTTCCTTGCCAGGGAATGGCATCTGCTACACCTCTTTTCAAAACAGGAGATGCATAATGGCTTGGTTCTTTTTTTCTCTAAAAGTTTAATGATACATTAATTTTTTTTAAAAAAAAATTATTATTTCCAAAAAGAAAAACTGTTTTGAAACTCTCATCAAAGCCAAGAAAAGTCTCGCTGTAGCAAGTGTTCCTGGTCAGGTTGACCAGCTTATATCGCTCATTTGTAATGTGTTCAACACCTCATTAAATAAGATAAATGAGTTTCCTGCCTTCTATAACTAAAAAAAAACCCAAACCAAACCCAAACTGTTAAAAGAAAACTTGCAGTATTAAAGTGAGATGAGACTTTTGGGGCATTTTTCTGTCTGGATGGATATGGAAGAGATTTGGTCTCGTATGGATGTAAGGAAACAAACATCCAAGGGGTGTTTGGACTGAAGGTTGCTCTGAGGAAAGGCTGATGTGTTTGACTTGATGATTGAGGAAACCCTCAACTAAAGTAGAAGGAAAAGAATTTATTTTAGACCAGTGGAAGCTACTGCAGAAGGAAGGAAATGGAGAAACTTGTCTTTAAAACGTCGTCTTAGCAAGATGTGCCGGAGCACAGAAGGTCTGGAAGAGGAGTGAGCTGTTCCAAGCTATGAATACGCAGTAAACACTGGGGTCAGGTTATGTTTGCACTGTGGGTTGGAAGTGCACGTGGGCTGTTTCAGCTCAAAAACAGTTAATTTTTTTTTGGGGGGGGGGAAGCAAGGAAGCCTGTTGGGAGCTGCTAAGGATCGCTCTGTGCTTTTCATATTACCCCATCTGTGTTTGGAAAGCTCTTCCTTACCCCTCGTATTGACTTTGCTCTCTTAGTTTATCCCTCACGGTCCTTAGAATCATAGAATCACTTTGGTTGGAAAAGACCTTTGAGATCATCGAGTCCAACCTTTAACCTAACCCTGCCATCCCACCACTAAACCCTGGCCCTAAGCACCTCATCTCTCTACCTCTCTAGGAGGACTCTACCACCTCCCTGGGCAGCCCCTTCCAGAGCCTGACAACCCTTTTGGTGAAGAAGTTTTTCCTAATGTCTAGCCTAAACCTGCCCTGGCGCAGCTTCAAACCATTCCCCCTCGTCCTATCATCTGTTACCTTCTTGCTCCTCCTTGGTTTTTAAGCATAAGGTTTTGATGAGGATTTGAGGTAGCTGGTGTGGTGTGGGCTTGCCAGCTTTTCCTTGCATTCATATGGGAAACAGTTTAGCCATACAGAAATGAAAACTCAGGCTCTGAGCTCCAGGAATTGGGTTTTTTGGTTTAAAAAAAAATAAATCTCAGGAATGATGATAACCTGCCAGGAGGTTGGACTCGGTGATCTGCGATGGTCTCTTCTGACCTGAACAATTTTGGGTTCCCGTGTTGACTGCAGTGGGTCGGGGGGGAAAGGGTTGCACGAGGACATGTTTTACAGCTAGGAGGGAGGAGAAGCTCCACTAGCCAAGGGTGTCGTACAGGGCACGGCCACGGCATGGTTCTCCTTCACCATGGTGGAAAAGGAAATACAGTGTAATGAAAGTATGCTTTAAAAACATTAAATTAAATTAATAAGGGTTCTGCACTTTTCCCCCTTCTATTGCAATTGACTTTTTGTCTTTCTCTGTCCTCTTGTTTCCTTTCTCTGTCCTTTATTTCTAGCAAGACTGAGGACTGGGGGTATCTCAATGAAGATGGAGAGCTCGGCTTGGCTTATCAAGGTTTAAAGCAAGTTGCCAGGTCAAACACTTTCTTTTTTCCCCACTGTTTCTTCTTCCCCCTCTCCCTTTCGCTTGCCCTTTTGTTTCTTCCTCTGCTGTTGTCCTCTCTGGGAGCAGCCGGAGGTAGGACATCAAAACTGGAGGAACTGAGACCCTCCTCTAATTTTCAGAGGAGTTGTTGCAATTCTAATCGGGCATTGCTGATGGTGGCTGTTGTCTGTAATGCCTGAGCTATGATTAATTAAGAATTATGTTACGTTAACGGGAAATTGTGTGATAAAGGTGTTGGGAAGCTGTAATCTCCAGGAAGGGGCGGGGGGGGAAATATATTTTTTTTTTCTGAATTGCACTAAGATACAGCACCTCCCTGAAGTATTTTCTCCCAGTCCTTGGCATGTCAGAAGTGGAGTCCCTGTGCTTGTATTGCGATGCTGTCTGCTTTGTATGCTCCCGGGAATTGCACGCTTCCATCTGTGCATTGCCTATAGGTACAAGGAGGAAGGCGTGTGGCGGATACGCGATGCCATCCTTCCACAGCTCTCCCCGTGTCCTGGTGTGGTGGGCAAATATCCCAGCGGACACACCAGGGCAGTACCTGCAACTGCCCTATCTGCTGGGGATGCCGGTGATTCTGTACCCATCTCTCATCTCCAAGCTAATGAATGTTTAGAAACACAAATGGAGATTAAAGCAAGGCAGGGGGACTCCTGGATTCTTCTCCTCATTCAACCTGGTGCTTGGAAGAGCTGTTAATTAAATATTAATCAGTCTTTGCTCTCCTGCAGGGTGGTTATGAGGCTCTGATATCTATGCTTTTTATAAAAGATATGAAATGAGCTGATTAAGGACACTGTAAGAGAGGAAAATTTAAAATAATCTTCTGTATAAAGTAGTCTAAAGCGGTCACCTGTAGAGGGATCAGAATAAAACCGGACAACAACAGGAAAAATACCAGGGATGCTTCATTTGTTTTTCAAAGCAAGGTTGGAACCCAAGTTCATAGAAGGAGCATGTTTTTCTGAGGGCAGCTCATAGCTAATCCAAACCCATGTAAGAAATAAAATAACAACTAAGTACTTAATACTTATTTCATGGTTGGGCCTGTGTTTTCCAAGCCTATTAAGAATATAACTCCTGACAACATGGTTACGAGGCTGTGTGTGTTATTGCCCGTGTTGGAAAATACCCTTTTCTGTCTTCTGCTGGAAAATGGGAAGTAGGGATTGAGTTGTTTAGATCTTCTAAAAACAACAACAAAAAACAAGCTGGAGAATGATTAATGCCTTTTCATCCAGAAATCTTCTGTAGAAAGCACATGTTCTTTTATACAGTCCTTAAAAAACCCCTCAGAATAACAACAAAAAAACCCCCATGCTTAAATGTTCCTGCAGGGAAACACTTCACAGGCGTGAATCTCCATTAATTTCCCAGTGGACCTGAAAGAGTTGTAGCTTTTTCCAACCTGGCACAGCTCGATGCCTGTGCACATCCTGGGTGAATGCTCAGCTATTGACACCACAGTCTTCCTCACCTTTGAGGATCACCGTTTGCATCCGATGCCAGAGGAGCTGAAGCTCCTGCACCAAGTGTGTGGTTGTCTGTAGGTCTGCCCAGGAGAGCACATCCATGAGCTACAGCAAGGACGTGGGCTTGGTTGCTGCCATCACCCTATGTAGTCTGGGACTAATATTTTGCAGTTTCTAGTTTGATAGCCCTTCCTCAGAGTCCTCATACCTTCTTGGAGTCACTTATTTCAGTCTTCTTGAAAGAGCTGGTGGACTAAAGGGGAGATTTCCATTTAGCAGCGGGTAGGGAATATCCTTAAAAATCAACTAAGGTGTCACTTGCCCAGTTTGTCGGCATCCGCATCAGCAAAGGGAGTGTACAGGAGGGCAGTTAACATCTCAGTGATGAATCATTCTTCTGGATTAACGAAGGCATTCTGGTTTAGCAAATGGCTGGAAAATGCGTTAACTAAATGCCTTACCCTTTAGCTCAGCTTCCCGCCCCGCTGGGGGTTGTCCTTGTGTTGTCCTTGTGCACAGGCTCCAGACAGGGCTGGAAGGAGACCTGGTGTAGGGGAAAAGGGGGTAGGAGAGGATGGCAGGACAAATTATTAGAGAAAATGTTGGGTACCCACCTAAAAGTGGGAGAAGGGCTGGTTTTGGTGACTTCTGTCCGCTGTGTAAGATGGTATTAGTATTTGTATGCCATGGAGTGCAAGGAAACCAAGTCTTTTTACCTACTGCTGAAGAGTCCTGGCGAAGTCAGCAGCGATAATGAAAGCAGGGACCAATCAAGATGACAGAAAATCGCCTTGTGCATGGTTTTCTGCAGGTAGTTTGTGAATAAAAACTGAGATATAAATGCATATACTTGTCAAGCTAAGTCTGGGTTGTTTAGTCTGGAGAAGAGGAGGCTGAGGGGAGCCCTTATCGGCCTCTACAACTGCCTGACAGGAGGCTGTAGCAAGGTGGGGGTCGGCCTCTGCTCCCTGGTAATGGATGATGGGACGAGGGGGAATGGTCTGAAGTTGCGCCAGGGCAGGTTTAGGTTGGACATTAGGAAAAACTTCTTCACTGAAAGGGTTGTCAGGCTCTGGAATGGGCTGCCCAGGGAGGTGGTCAAGTCCCCATCCCTGGAGATATATAAAAGAAGGATAGATGAGGTGCTGAGGGCCAGGGTTTAGTGGTGGGATGGCAGGGTTAGGTTAACGGTTGGACTCGATGATCTTAAAGGTCTTTTCCAACCTAAAGGCTTCTATGATTCTATGCTAAATAGCAGCTCTGCAAACAACTAGGAGGAATGAAGGCTTTCAGCTCCAGCCTTTCTTGAACTCCCAGCAGTAACAAGCGAAGCCTGTGGCAGTCCAACTGAAGGGAGCAGCTTGCAAGGCACACAGTTCAGTTTCCAAGGATAAGAAGTGATGTTTGAAGGGGGCTGAGCAGATCAACGAAAGCCCTTTGAGCTGAGCTTTTGAAAAACCTGCAGGTGTTGCACTCCTTTCTTGCCATGCATTTGCTTGTTTGCTAATGGGAAGAGTAAAGGAACCCAAATTTGTGATACAGTTGCAGAAAAAAGGGAACTCTTGGATTATTATATTTAAAAGAAAAAAAAAAACCCACACCCAAACTTTTGATCTCATGTCTCTAATTTCAAAAGTATTAGTATAACAAATGACAGACTAATGTGGCAAGAACAGCTGCAGCAGCCCTTTGTGTGTGTCAGTTTTATAGGGAGGTTGACTGGGAACATCTCCCAGGTTGGCTGATTTTGGAGGATTTAAACTCAAAGAGTGGCTACTGCCATGATGCGGAGATCACAGGCTGATGGCTGTGGTCCTGTTCTCAGGTTACTGGAAGCACAGCTCCAGGATCAGAGAAGAGAGCATGAGGAGGAGGTAGAAGCTCTGAAAAACGAGGTGGATGCAATGAAAGAAGAGATGGAGAAACAGCAGCAGGCTTTCCTGCAGACCCTGCAGCTATCTCCGGAGGCCCAGGTGGAGTTCGGACTTCAGCAAGAAATTACACGTCTCACCAACGAAAATCTGGTAAGAGGCTGTACTGAAAACACAGTCTAAGGAAGAGGAAAAAAACCAGAACAGGTTGAGAGAAAGGGGATGGGAAACGTGAAGGGGAGGAGAAGGCACTGGGGTCTCTTCCACCCCTCCTACCCTCTCTGCAAGATCCTTCAGCATCTCCCACTGGTGCATCTGGGAGCATTGGTACTTGGCTTTGAGCTGTTGTTCAGTGGCTTTATGACTCTTGTGACTCCTTAGGTACTTTATTTTTTCATTTTTATTTTTTTTAAGCCTCCCTGCTTTGTGGCACTGCCTACCAAATGAGATCGCTGGAGTCACTGGGGACCCCTATACTCTGTAATTATGCACAAAGATAACACAATCCCCTCTTTCCACCTGCATTTATTGGGAGTGTGGGGAAAAAAACCAGAACAGGTTGAGAGAAAGGGGATGGGAAACGTGAAGGGGAGGAGAAGGCACTGGGGTCTCTTCCACCCCTCCTACCCTCTCTGCAAGATCCTTCAGCATCTCCCACTGGTGCATCTGGGAGCATTGGTACTTGGCTTTGAGCTGTTGTTCAGTGGCTTTATGACTCTTGTGACTCCTTAGGTACTTTATTTTTTCATTTTTATTTTTTTTAAGCCTCCCTGCTTTGTGGCACTGCCTACCAAATGAGATCGCTGGAGTCACTGGGGACCCCTATACTCTGTAATTATGCACAAAGATAACACAATCCCCTCTTTCCACCTGCATTTATTGGGAGTGTGGGGAGCAGTTACCACTCTGAAAAGCTGGCCTGGCCAATCATAGATTTTCCCTTTCTTACCTTCTGTATCTGCGTTGCAAGGTCTGGAGTGAACACTGGCCCCTTCTAAGTTTGGGTGAGGGCTTCTTGCCTTTCTTGACAACTCTAGTATCTAAATAGTTTAAACATGATTAACAGCCAGGAGCAAAATGCTTTGGGTGGTGTATCGTGAGTATTGCCTGCTTCTAGAAAAAGCAGGCACACAATATCCACAGTCTTTGCGGTGTAGGTAAGGGTGTCTCTGAGCAATCCAGAAATAACACAGCCCTTCCCATACCAAGACACTCAGACCGTGCAGCAGTGGTTCATAGACCAGGCTGCCGACTGGCTCCAGCCTCAAACTCACCCCAGATGGGTTCTCGTGTTGCATTGGGTTAAAAAAATTTAAAAATTCATCCTCTGTTTTTCAGGATCTTAAAGAATTGCTAGAGAAGTTGGAAAAGAATGAAAAGAAGCTGAAAAAGCAGCTGAAGATTTACATGAAGAAGGTCCAAGATTTTGAAGGTGACTTGGCTGTTGGTAGCCATTGGGGTGGGGGAACAGCACTCTGGTTTCACTCCTTTAGCCAGCCTTGGAGAGCTGCAGGTTTTTTCTCTTTTTCTTTCTATTATAGTTAAGAATTTGCTCATTCTGGCATGCTGAACTAGTACTGAGCTCATCGTTGGCATGACAGGAGGGAACCAAAAGTCCAAAGGAAACTCCTGGGTCATGCTTAGGCTGCCTTTGAACAAGTAGAGCTGTGCAGCTGTAGCTTTAGCTTGTTAATGTGGTTGGACATTGTAAACTTGGAAGAGGGTCCATGAAATGGTGGAGGGCAAGTGCTTGCTGGAGGTGTTGGTCTGACGCGTGGCGTACCAGGAGGGTATATAAGAAACCTGTTTGCTTTCATTGCCGTCAATGCTGTGACCCAAGCAGAGATATAGAAAGACCAGTGGCTAGCAGGCAACTGCTCTGGTTCTGGCAGTTTCCAGGGAGATTAAAACCATTTAGGATTAAAATATAGAATCATAGAATCATAGAATCGCTTTGGTTGGAAAAGACCTTTAAGATCATCGAGTCCAACCGTTAGCCCTGGCGCAGCTTCAAACCATTCCCCCTCGTCCTATCATCTGTTACCAGGGAGAAGAGGCCGACCCCCACCTCCCTACAGCCTCCTTTCAGGTAGCTGTAGAGGGCGATCAGGTCTCCCCTCAGCCTCCTCTTCTCCAGACTAAACAACCCCAGTTCCCTCAGCCGTTCCTCGTATGACTTGTGCTCCAGACCCCTCACCAGCTTGGTTGCTCTCCTCTGGACATGCTCCAGCAATGCAACATCCTTCTTGTAGTGAGGGGCCCAAAACTGAACACAGTATTCGAGGTGCGGCCTCACCAGCACCGAGTACAGGGGCGCGATGACTTCCCTTGTCCTGCTGGTCACACTATTCCTGATACAGGCCAGGATGCCATTGGCCTTCTTGGCCACCTGGGCACCCTGCTGGCTCATATTCAGCCGGCTGTCAACCAGTACCCCCAGGGCCTTTTCCACCAGGCAGCTTTCCAGCCACTCTTCCCCAAGCCTGTAGCGCTGCATGGGGTTGTATATATATATGGGGTTGTATATATATATGTATATTCTGCTTTATCAGAAAATACCTCAAAGGTGACATCTGTTGTTGTATAGAAGGAGCTTCCCATTCTCTGAAGATGCTGCGATTAATCACGTAACCTTGTTCTTGTGAGCTGATTGCTGAAAAGTAGGCATTAAGTGAAATTAAGCTGAATGACTGGAGGGTTTCCATGGGTAGCACCAGCTGGTCTCTGTCAGTGTAATCTGCACACAGCAGGCTGCTGTTTACCGCAATACTTGCACGCTGGTCTCTTCTGGTTTATTAAACTTTTATGGAAGCACAACGCTCCATGGTGTGCCACCGCAGTTCTTCAGCTTTACAGCCAGCCAGAAGATGTGATGCATAGGGTTTGGGTTTTTTGGTTTTTTTTTTCATTGCCTGGCTATTTTTTTTCCCCCTCTGTGAAAATGATACACTAAAAAGCTTCCCATAGGGTTACTACTGTCTAGCCTGTGGTTCCTTGGAAAATAAACCCCAACTTTATCTGTTCCTCTTTAGGTCTAAATTTGCACTCTATTTCATTCAAGGGTCAGAATTACTGCCAACTGGTAATTCAAGACCTGGTTCTTTATAAGTCTTTATTTTTATCAGTCTTTATTTGTAATTCTTTATTTTTATAAGTCTGTCGAAGCCGATGACATTATTGGAAACTTAATATATAACGCTTTGACTGGTGTTTGCCCCAAGGCCATCGGGGGATGTGAATAGCTCTTGACTACCAGATACCACCTTTTATGTTCTTTTCTCTTCACAGCATCCCAAGCCATGGTACCAGCGGAGAGGAGGCGGCACGAGCGTAACATGCAAGTTGCTGTCCAGAGAAAGGAGAAAGATTTTCAGGGCATGTTGGAATATTATAAAGAAGATGAGCCACTCCTCATCCGAAACCTCATTACAGGTGAGGCACTTGCTCTGCTCCTGTGCCTGGCTCCTTCTCTTGCCTGGGAGAGTTTGCAAACTTGACATCTCAAGATAGAAAAATAGATCTTCTTAAATTAACCCCTCCTGGGGCTGCACCTTTATGGTGACGTCAGTTTTGGTAGGTAAAGCAGTGCAGCACTAAGCAGATAAACCAGCATGGATACAGTTCTTTAGGGTGAGCAAAAAATGGAAAATGCAGAAAGGAGGCTGCAGTTTTTAGAGCAGGCAGTGACTTGCTGAGCTTGATACGATGTGGTGATAGACGGGGAGGGGATAGCAAGGGATAGACGCTGAGGATTTTGCACAGCAGTGGAACAGAGAGGTAGTTTGATTTATGAGATAATAATAGATAATAAACTTGTGAGCTCCCTTATGCTGGCCAGTCTGATCAGAATTGCTGCCAGCATCTCCTTGTTCAAGGCTGTTAGGGAAGCCAGGCTTCCCTGGCTGTTACTATTTACCACCACTCTCTTAACTCCAGCAGAGTCTAACAAGGATCTGAAAAAGAGCAGTGCTGGCCCATTGCTGAGGTCTTTGAAGTTCCCCTAATCAGACAGGCTCTTCCTTTAGAGGCTGCAAATTCCCACAGCTACCATTAGGATTCAGTATCTTTGA